TGTGTGTGTGTACGTATGTGTGTGTGTACGTGCGTGTGTGTGTGTACGTGTGCATGTGTGTGTGTGTGTGTGTGTGTACGTATGTGTGTGTGTACGTGCGTGTGTGTGTGTACGTGTGCATGTGTGTGTGTGTGTGTGTGTCTGTGTGCGTGCGTGTGTGTATAAGCAAAATATACCAGAGGATGAGGAAAATAAGAAAGAAAACACGAAAAAAGAACGAAAATCCACCTACGAATGAGAAAAAAAGATAGATGAAGATAAATAGATAAAGTAACAAAACAAAAATAAAAATAAAATGCACTAACAACACGAAAAAAAAAACATACAAAATAAAATAATACACGACTGGACATGAAGGCGACAGACCAGCCGGAAATTAAACGTGTTTCGAACATGCAACAGAGAATTCTATTGAGAACCGAGATTATAAAGACTTCGTGGTACAAAATGGTCTTATTTTAGAAGCAAGGACACGGGGCTGAATTGCTGATAAGATAATAGAGAATGCAACGTAGGGATCTTTTGTAATTACTTATAATCGTATCCATACAAAATATGATAGTGGTTATGATGATGATATCAATAACAATAATGATAATTAGAGTGATAAAGATATAATGATGATGATAATAATGATAGTAATTACAATAATGTAAATAATCCAGATTAATAAATGAATAAATTAACAAATAAAATACATAAACATAAATAAAAAGAAATAAAAATGCCAGAAGACAAAAGACAAAAAAATAACAAATAACTCACATGTAATAATAAGCCCGGTGTCAGAACGATCACAAATTACACCAGGAAGACGTTTCAAAGAGAGATTACAAGACGCAAGGAAAAGAAACTTCGGTCGTTGAATTATGAAACTATTGTTCAACTCGACTCCAATTCTCGAGGAAAACATTTGAACCTGAAGGAACTTTTTCGAGGTCAAGCTTATGAACACTTGAATGGTGATCTGTGGAGATTTGTCTTGGTGCTAATATGATGATGATGATGATGGTGACTGCGGTTGTGATGATGATGGTGATTGTGGTGGTGATGATGATAGTGACTGTGGTGGTGATGATGATGGTGATTGTGGTGGTGATGATGATGGTGATTGTGGTGGTGATGATGGTGATTGTGGTGATGATGATGGTGATACTGCTGGTGAATGTGGTGGTGGTGATGATTGTGGTAATGATGGTGATACCGATGGTGATGGTGATAATGAGGATGATGGTGAGGTGCCTGTGGTGGTGATGATGGTATGATGATAAAATTATAATAGTTATAACAACAATGATACAATAATGATAACAAAAAAGGACAGTAACAACATTAATAATGATAATAATAATAATAATAACAATAATAATGATAATAACAATATTAATAACAATAATAGTAATAGCAATAATAATAATAATGATAATAACAACAACAAGAATAACAATAACAATAACAATAGGAAATAGAACAACGAAACAAACAACAGAGATGAGGACGACAACAATTACAATTAACGGCAATAACAAACGCATGAGCCACGACCTCAGCGCCAACAACAGGAAGACGTGAGAGGGAACACGACCTGTGCCATAAGAGCTTCTCCTCACGCGTGCATTGGCGAGATTTGCGAAAGGCTGAATCTGTTGTTGTTGTTGTTGTTGTTGTTGTTGTTGTTGTTGTTGTTGTTGTTGTTGGCGGTGGTGGTGAAATTGCTGTTGATGTTAGTGTCGATAATGATGTTGTTTTTTGCTGTTGTTGATGGCGGTGGTGGTGATATTGTTGTCGGTGTTGTTGTTGTTAGAGGTAGTCGTGAAATTAGTGTTGATGTTGATGTTGTTGATGTTTGAATTGTTGTTGCTATTGGTGATGATGAATGATCTTATAAGTTAATAGCGATGTTTGAAGTTGATGTATAGATGATGTTGTTGTATGATGCTGCTGTGGTTGCTGTAAGTGTTGCAACTGTCTCAATTGTTGCATTTGTGGATGCTGATCTCTCTAATATCATTGCTGATGAGTCTCCATATCCGAATGACATGACTGTATATCAAATTATCATCATCGACAACCGGTCAGTTATCAAATAATATTCATCACCAGCCTGTCAACTTATCATTACTAATTACCCAAGCTGTCAAGTGCAGTCCAGCTTCATTAAAGATATCTGATTAGAAAGGAAACCGACGGCGCTGTACATACACGTTATACTTATGTCTAAACTCAGTGTGTGTGAAATAACTCAAATACGTGTAAAATGTTTTTTGAAGGTTTAGATAAAAAATAACCACTGAAAGAAATATTTGTGAGTGAAAATATGGATCAAGAAAGGAGGTGATGGGTTGATAGATGGACAGGTAGAAATGCTGATAGATGGATATGTAGACAGATAAAGGGAGAGATATGGAAAAAAGAAATAAATGAAGAAGCAATTGATTAACAGTCAGGTAAAATAAAGACACAGGAAGAAACTGATAAATAGCTAGAAATAACGACGATGGACACGTAGATAGACAAAGGAAGAAAATGATGAATAAGTAAATAAAAAAAGAAATGGTGAAAGTGAAATAGATCAATAGATTTCCGCTTTCTCGTCTGATGAGGCGATTATTTTTATCCGAAACGTAACTATGTATTGCTCATTTTTTATTGTTTCATTTCATCTTTATACACCTTATTG